ATGCATCAAATAATTTTATATTGACCATGAATTTGATCATAATTTTATTGTAAATCTTTTTTAAACTTTTTTATTGAGTATTAACACTATAGATTTTATCTGTGCTAAACACGCAATTGGGGAATATGTAAAAAAAATCCCAATTCAGAAACAAAATGTATTTTTATTTTATTAATTATTATTATTATTTAAACATTAATACACTACTTTATTGTAATATAACATTTCTAATTAAATGGATTAAGTTTATTCAACCAACTTTTGTTCTCTTCTACTGTTTCATTACTATTTTTCAACTCCTCTATCAACTCCAGTCTATATTTTGCCTTCAATGGTGCTTTCTTTTCGTTTAATTCATCTATATCTTGCATCTTGAGTAAAGCCTCATCAAATGTTAAACCATACCACTCAATTTCTTCATGGGTGTAATCATTCAAGTAATGTTTATATTTGTCATACACTTCTTGTTGTTTTACATTATCATCTGCATACAATGTTTTGTCCCTTAAAGCCATTAAAATATGACGTTTAATTTTTAAACTTAAAGTGGTTCTTAAATCACATGCAGCTGTTTTCAGTAGATAATGGTCTAGACCATAATTCTTATTTATAACATTTAGGGCCTTTTCAGTCACCGTAGTTGACATGTACTTATTTAGAATTTCGCTGTAGACCACTGTTTTTTTTAGCGTCGGAGTCCAAAAATGTGGAACACGACTCTTATATTTACCACTTTGTTTGAAACCTTGAACTATAGCTTCTCCTCCCCAAATACCATAATGCATTGTTTTTGGGTACTTTAAAGGAATTGGTATATTCTGAACAGGAATCACTGCACCAGTTTTCTCATCTTTAGTCCATTTTCCTGGTGTAGCTTTGTAATAAACTGGTTCAGGAACACTGTGACGCCATTCCTTATAAAATTTCTTATACGCCTCTGGAAGCCGATCACCGAGACCGGAACTGATTTTTGTTTTTTTTGGTATGTATAATAATTTTAAACCATTAGCTAGTTTGGATTCCATTTTAAGATTCCTAAAAATATGAATAATGCATCAATAATATATATTTAGTACTACAAACTTCTTATACCGATAAAAGTTTAATTTTTATGTTGAATTAAAATGAAGAAAACAATATAGGTATTGACTTTTTTTATTTAGTTTGATGACATATATACAATTCAACTATTGTTGATAATTTGTTTTAATATGAACCGTGGCTAAATATATTTATTATATTCATGATTTAATCTTTTATGTAATGTTTTTTAATTTTGACATTTTTATTTAGTACTTATTAAAAACACAAGTGCTTAATGTTTAAAATGTTTAGTTTGGTACCTAGCAATGTTTTATTATTTTTTTTAAATATTCAAATTTATTTTATGTAGGTACACTAAGCATTAATTTATTTATTAATTAAATTACTTAGTAATATTTTATTTTATAATAGAAGCACAATATTTATGGAATAATTTATGAAAAGAAATAAATAAATTATGATTTCCCATCAAAATTGAAAACTTAACCGTTTCACTGCTTCAGCCATAATATTACACACAAAACATTTATACCATTCACTGACTTCAGACGCACTATTATGTTCCTGTATTTTGTATAATCTTATATCGATAACTGTACACTTTTTGGAAACTCTAGCTAGCATTATTTTAATCTTAACTAATTGGTCATGGATCTCAAAATTAAAAAATATATATATGACGTTTTTTACATAGCGTACACAGGTTCAAATATTGTGAATAAAAATATAATAAAATATTGTTGTTTTCAAAAGTTAAGTACTTTAACTTTATCATTGGTATTTTTTTTTAACAATTGCTTGGTTAGAATTACACATGCATCTGAAATAAGCTATTACAGCTATTATTTTTATCGGAGAGTTAAAAAATCTCACTGCTATAAAATGATACACTTAATTCCAATTATCTCCTAATAATAAATTGATACATAAATATAATGCATTAAATATGTATTTTAGTTCTGATAGATTATTACTCGGGCTTAATTGCATGTATGTCTATGAGTATAAAATAATATTATTCTACTTACCCTTATCGTAGCTGCTTATACACTACCTACAAATTATTAACTATTAGGTAAGTATAAAACTATATAATACAACCAATTATTAATATTAGTTGTAAGACGATATACCTAGAGTAAATAACTGAACAGTCCCAAACTCGAAGAAGAATTTTAAGGTATTCCTATTTTCTTTAATTAATAATTATTCTAGCACGTTTAAAGATATTATAGTAAAATTATAAACTTATCACTATCAGTTATCACAAATTCGTATGATAGTTTGTTGATAATATTAGTATATTACCAAATATTTTAGTTTTATTGATCTAGATATTTATTTTTACTATATTTGTAACTTTAACAGTTGTTTCTAAATTACTTAATAAAATTTAAATTCATAAATACAATCAATATAGAATTTTAAAGCAAAATAAGTATTTTGCAATAAATTACAAGCACTTAGATAATATATATTTCTACCGATTTTCCATCAGTCAGGTTGGCCGAGCGGTCTAAGGCGCCAGATTTAAGCTCTGGTTCCCAAACGGGAGCGTGGGTTCGAACCCCACACTTGACAAACGTTAAAATTTTTTACTTTTTTTTACATTCTATATTTGTGTATTTTATTATTATATTATGATTTATTTCTTTAGCGAATCAATTTTATGCAATTCTTCTATACAATTTTTTATTTTGTTACGGTTATAAATCAGGGCAATACATTTCCAAAATTAAAATATGAAATAAATATCAAAATAGATACTAGGACACTAGATGGCTAGAGGCCTAGAGCAGCTATGCGCCTGCGAAGAAAATTATAACCAATTATATCCGAATATGAAGTTCAAAAAGTCTTCATTTAAGGTAACTGAGAAAATTCCTTAAAAATATCAAGTCCTTGAACCTATTGAGTATCGGTGATAAGATTGGCAACTGTAACTTCTATACATTTTGTGCCAATCCTATAAAATTTGATATTTTAATTGATGTTTCTCACCTTGTCAAATTTGTTTATAACAGTCATACTAAGTACTATCTGTACAATAATTGTGATCTAAAGCAAAAAGTTCCAAATGGTTTTTAAAAGCGGCAGGACAAACAAACAAACAAAATTAAGGAAAAATGAGAATTTTTAAGGACACCCGGTTTTTGGCAAAATCGATTTTGGTTTTTGATGTAACTAAAAAAAAATGTCATAGGTACATGAAATGTTCACCGAATGTTTATATCCGTGTTTTATAAGCACCATACAATTTTCAAAATATTTGACTCGTATTAAAATTAAAATTTTATTTCTTTCTATAAATGTCAATACAATTGTATTTGCTGGGTCAAAAAGCGTGAAAATTTAATACAAGGCTCCTGATATATTGCTACAATATCAGTTGAAAATATTAAAAACAAATACTCACGTTTTTGTTTCATAATCATTTAAAGTTCAAATTTTGGTATAATGTTTCAAATTGAAAATTGAATAATGATTTTGTAGTTAAAAACGTATTAAATGTTCATGTTTTGTAGCTAAGGATTGACAATTTAAAACAAGGTTCTACTTAAGTAGTTCATTCTGTAACCAAAAAATTTAAAAATAAATATAAGTACAGCTTTTCTACAGTTATTTTAAGTTCAAATTTAGAACAAATTACATATGAACACAAAGAATAACAATGTTAGTCACTTTGTTGTAATTCGGTTCCAAAACAGCTCAATTTTACATAAGTATATATAATATTTTCCCAGCATCACTGATAATTTAAGAATACTATTATGAATAATATTAATTCAACTTGCTGGCCACCGTATTTATAATAAGTAATAACAATATAAAATATAAAACATATTAAGCTGGACGTCTGGACGACTGGACATGCCGCCTCCGCACAGAATCGTCTTTCGTATACAATGATATGATGTCATTGAATTCAAATATAATACCATCCATTACAACAACTTTCTAGAAATCTAGACACCTAATGAACAGCAGAGTGACATTTACTTACCCCCTTTTTTTTCTTATAATATAATATAGAACAAAAATAACGATGTGTTTTTTGAAAAATGCTACAGAATTATAAAAATATAACATTTTATATTGTTCACTATATAACGCAGATGAAATGATTTCTACAATCATTTTCTTTTCTTTTTCATTCTACTTAGAACCACAGATTAAATAATTTTTTTATTTAATCTGTGTTAGAACAAACAGACATCTTTTTTTAGTTTTTAATTTATTGTTGTGTGTATTTTTATATTTGTCCATCATATATAACTATATATAAGTACTTACATTAATATTACCTTAGGCCTATAAGTATTATAACTGATTTATGAATATATATGAGGTGTAATTATCTTAAACTTTATTATACGTGAAGATGCAGACTATGCCGGTTAAGTTAATTTAATTTTTGTTTTTTTTAGGTTTAGACGCTGTGATAATATTTTTCTACTAAGTTTATTTTAATAATATTAGATTTTAAAATGTTTTACGGTTGAACTCATAAGAATTTGTTATAATTTAAAACAAGATTCAAGTTCGAAAAAAATTAGTCTGAGTTCGCGAGAATCTAAATTCTACCAATCGTTGGTTCATACAACAACATTATAGACTTAGTCCTCCGACGGTTAGGGAAAAGAAACTATAGTGCTTATGGTTTTACACGTGTAATGATGACTTACGGAATGTATAAAAAAGTCTAATCATTGGAGTGTAACAATAACATAATATACAATATACTAATATTATAGTTAAGCAATAAAATAATTATGAGTTCGTACGGTGTGACCTGTTCGCCACGCGATGCTGCTGAATATCAATAGTGCATGAATTGCCCAAACCGCGTTCATGTTTTCCCCACCACGACCACAACGTCATTCCTCATACCATATTCTTAGAGATTCAACTTCGGTAGGTATCTCATATAGGTTCGAGGGCTCTGCATTTTCTTTAACAAATCGACTCGCTGTTGGCATTATGATGTGCAGTCTCACAGGCACCGTAGTTGCGTCTACTTGATAATATCACACCTGTGGTGTTCTCGGCGGAGTTTTTGCGTTTAGTGTTGTGCAATAATATTTATATAGTACCTATACCGTGTGTGTGTGTGTTGCAGTTTATAGATATAATTTGTGTCGCGACGTCTTCAGATACATTTGCTTTCGAAATATTTATTCGGTCATGGCTGTGTGTTACTTTAATAGGTGTGTTTAAAACCAAGCACTTCAAATCGGGCGGGCGGCTTGCATAGTATGTCACCCATATTAATTATGCATTTTTTAAATTAATATTTATAATTACTTGATTTACTTATTCGACTAGATTGAGAACATTTAGAGTAGGACCTATTTTATAATTAAACGCGTACCTTTCCAGTGTTGTTCTTGTTTTTTTATTCCCATACAGTTTTCTGAAATTGCCCGTACTTATAATATATTATTATTATTATGATTTTTTGAACGAAATTCCTGTACTATGACGACAATTCAACAGCGTTAAAATAAACTCATATTTATTGTTTTCAAGTATAATTTTAATTTTACAAACGTTGTAGATGAAATAACTAAAAATATTATAGTTTAGTAAAATATTTATCAATTAAAATAGAAAGTTGACATAAATATGAAAATATGAATAATTCTATTTAGTTATAAATATAATTCGATGATTTTTTAATACAATCTGTAACCAATTACCTATATTAAAATTTTTATACAGCAAATAAATTAACGGCGCTTTGATACTAAGTATATATATTAACTATAATTATATATATATATATAATATAAATATATATAATTAACATATAACTATAAATTGATCAACACATATAATTATTTTATATCATAATGAATAATATTATTATCAAACATTTTGAAATAATGTAGTTGAATTTAAAAACAGAGATATTTTTTTTGAAATTTCAACATTTTTTTTTATAACTGGCAATTTAAATTTTTTGAGTGAATATTCAAAATACTTTTTTATTTTTAGGAATATTGTGGAATCTATTATATTTAAATGTATCTATTTCTAAAATATACTATGTTTACGTACTTACTATAATTATTTATGGTTATCAGGTTATCCGTTTCAAGTTTCAAACATTGACAAATATATCCATTGTGGTCATAGATAATTCTCTGGAAGGAAGCTCTGAACAAAACAATTATATACCAACTGCTATTGTTACGTGATTATAAGTATTATATATTGTACCACATCGTTAATAATATTTGGAAACATGAAGTGGCCAACATTGTGGATGAAATCAAATAAAAACGATTTCAGTTATGGAATCGATTCCACTATAGCACAGGTTAGTGCAGTACAATAAATTATAATTTATAAATGACCAGTGTCCAGTGATCTCGTTGAGATGATCAAATTGTATTAATAATAGTATACGGGGTTACATATTTATCGGGGTGTATGAAATTGATCGAGATAATTCGTAGATCACTCTAGTTAGCATTGTTAGCAAGATTGCTCTCATTGTTGACGTTTTGTAATTTTTTCACATCCCCAGATCTTGGCTTTGACGACGACCAATCTGTTCAGTATGAAAATCGGCATCGATATGATGACTCCGACGATAATCATTGGTGCCATTACCGACAAACAAAATAGCACCGGCTACAACCCTCTACCCCACATATCGGAAGAACAGACGTCCTGGATAGGTGAGAGTCAAAGTCGGACACCGTTCGTGATTTTAATGATAACAATACATGGGTGTAGGTAGGGGGGGAGTTGGGTGTTCAAACACCCCCCGAAATTAAATAAAACAATCTTGAGCTTTTTGTGAATTTGTTCGAGAATATTATTAACTCGCATATTATGTTGGTACTAGGTATAATTTGTGGGAAACCACAATTTACATTATATACTAGTTGAATTGCAATTGTTGGTAATAACTAGAGTTAGGATGTTGATGACCTAAAAAACACACAAAAATGCCCTAAAAAAAATGCAAAAAAACCCTAAAAAAAAGTGCAAAAATACTCTAAAAACTTCAAAAAATGACCTTAAAAATTATCTAAAATACTAATTAAGTAAGTGAAAAAACTTATTTATAAATAATAATTTTTATTAGAGATATGGGTATAATAATGGATGTAATAGTAATTTAAAATATGAATTATAAATATATTAAGCATTTAAATAATTCAATATATAACACTCAAAGAGTAAATCTTATCGGAACGCAATAAATGTAATCACAACAAAAACCCCACAATAATAATATTAAAATTATTTTTTACTAATAGTCCAAATCCAAAGTTAGATTTTAAATAAATTAAATTTGTTTCCAAACTTGGGTGTAACATTTGCCCTAAAGCCTATAATTTGTGAAAAATGCCCTAAAAGATGAAAAAATGACTTAAAAATGTTGAAAAATGACGTTTAAAAACAAAAAAAATGCATTTATAGCTAAAAATGCAAAAAATGCAAAAAAAATGCAAAATAAAATTAGAATATTCTGCATCAAGGGAGCATGAAACAAATTTTTAGCTAGGATAGCATTGTACAGAATAAAAGGGAAAAAAATGCAAAAGTCATCAACATCCTAACTCTAGTAATAACATAACAAAATAGGTATAGTGTATAAATACCATAAATCGGTTTTATCGGCGGACCGCGATTATCAGCTAGCGGCTGTCTCCAATTATTATTGTTTCCGTTAGGCTGGGGGCTATACACGGCGTATTCCGCGGCGTTTTCCGTCAAATTTCAAATGTATTAATTTATATCGGAGTAGCTATACACGACGAATGTAATACGCCGCGTTTTCATCAGCGGCGGAAAACGCCGGTCGGCTTGCGTTTTGGCGGACGAACGCCGAAGTAATAAAAACGCTCGACGGATACGTTCTGTATAGCTCGTCCGTCGGAACACTCCGCAGCGGAATCCGCCGTGTATGGCCCCAGCCTTAGTCTTTATATTGTTCAATTAGTCATCAGTGTGGTGTAGCCGTGTAGATACTACTGCCTCCTGGTAAGTACTCGCTAATTATTTTTATGTTATTTGATACATACAAATAAATGATTCTTAATTTTATCATATTAATAAAGATTTAGACAAAAACCCCCTACGAAAATGTTTCCTACCTACGCCCATGTAACAATATCGCATACATTACATTATACGCCATTTTGTACTACAAGATATTATATAGCTAAAGAGTGATATTATGATTCATTCCAATGAAGGAGGTACTTATTTTTAAAAAAAAAAACACACAAATTGACTACAAAAATCAGATTAGATGCCGATTAAATGGATGGCTCTATATGTTAATATATGGATAATATATTTGAATATATTATATTATACTTTCAATCAGACGTGTAACGAAGATTCTTTTTAGAGATGTGTTTTAATTTTATACGTAAATATAACATTTTGAGAGCTTTACTCACTCCGTTGTAGTTATAAATCATCATACTAATAATATTAAATCTAAAATGGAACTATAATATTAAAATGAATAATAAATGATAATATTCTAAATCACGAACTATTAAAAATTAATTTTTAGTTCAAAATGTAAGCAGTTTTAATTTTCATAACTAAACCATGAAAAATGCAACACAAGAATCTTCAAAAGCTATTATCACAGAAACCTATAAGCTCAAAAATATAAAAATCCATATTATATTTACAGTTCTTTTCAATAAAGACAATTCATTAAGATCAAATGTTTTACGAAATTGAATGTTTAAACAAAAAATAACTGTTAAAGTATAGATAATACCTGCCTATAGTTATTTCATTGTAATTCAAAATCATTAACTATACCTAGTTGCAAGTCACACTGCTTGCGTATTATATTAAAATTGGACACAATATTATTATGTACTATAGTATTCAATGCTTCTCGTGATATATGTTATACCAGTTACCACTTACCATTTAATTACATTAATATAAACACTTGAATCACTTAATTACATTAAAAATTACCATAAATCAAAATTTGATTTGTTCATCACGATCGAAGGTGGAGGGAAAAGTCGTCTATAGACTATAAATCTTAGCTAGAAAAAAATGGTTATGATTACAAGAATGTCATTGTTATTACCAGAATTTTCGGTTGCACCCATGACAGCAGTATATATATGTTTGGTGAAAGTTACAAGTTTGGTAAACTGAGTTTGGTAGCGGTCGCGGTTAATTTAAGTTGTAGATAGATATTCTTCAACCACACATCATGTCTAACCGAACTTACCATGCGCAGGAAGTCTCGTCTACCTACTCTCGCCGGTGGGCAGCGTGATTGCATCTTTCTTGCAAGACCGTTATGGTCACCGAGTGTGCATGATGGTGGCCAACGTTACGCACTTGCTGTCCGTGGCCATGTTGATGTTATCCGATGGTCCAGCCTGGCTGTACGCCAGCTCAGCACTGATGGGTTTCAACGCGGGGTTCGTGACCAGCTTCTCACTGTCGTACTGCGGAGAGGTGTGTGAGCCGAAGCTCCGTGGCACGCTCACCGCCGTGCTCAACCTGTTCTACTTCGCCGGTTACCTGTGCGTGACCATGTTGTATGCAGTCACCGCCGATTGGCGGCTGTCCGTGCTGTTCACCGCGATTTTGTCGATCGTCAATGCTGCGATCCTGTTCAAGGTACGTGATACACTATAATATTTGTGTTGGTTGGACGATTGCAGGTCGCCAATATGTGACATTACCAATGTATTTTAAGTAAATTGTTCAAAGTATAACTGTATTCGTATTCAAAATAAAATTCAGCTATCGTGATTCGATACCATTTGTTTGTCACATTTTGTCGACGATCACGAGGTCTCGAAAGCACCCAAGGAACTCAAAATTCCTATCCACACTCCACGGGCAAACTATGTCTTACTACATATTGACAGGGTACACTCGACACTAGCAGAGCGATTACCTACTTAACAACTTTTATTTTTAATATTTATATGATGATTGATGGTATAATATAGTCAATGTTTTTTTTTTGTGTATGGTAAAAATTTTGTTAATTTTATTATAAAAATTGCGTTTGCCCTCCGAAATGGCGACATTGAAGTTGAGCAATAATAATGAATCGTTTAGAAAAAATTAAAAAATTTCAAATTAAATTTTAATACAATTTAATACGATTTCAGACCCCAGATTCACCAATGTGGTTGATGTCCCAAGGCAGAACGGATGAGGCGAAGAGCACGTTTAACAAACTTCGAGGTGACGCAGGCGAGGACAAGTGCGCCGCTGAATTCCGGGACATGGTTAATTATACATCCGAAATTAATCTACCAACAGCTGGTTAGTATTTCATTTATTAGTACTGTCCAATTGTTGGTCTTCAAGACAACATTTTATACCTAGTTAAGGAATTTAACTAATGAACAAAATGTTTTTTTTTCAGTTTTATTTAATCGGATACCTTTAATAAATCATTTTTTGTACTTAGCGTTGCACCTATACATAAAGTCATCCACTTTTAAATTATTGATCCAACACTTTCCCCTTTGGTCTTAACCACTCAAATCTGTAAATGTTGTCTTACTTGCATTAATATTTAGACCTACATTACTCGATTCAATTTCTAATATTCCTGTCATATTGGTTTACTCACTCCCACTATACGTCCGTAGACGTGATCTGCAGATCGTCTATAAAATTAAGGAGTGTCTATGATTTATGACCATATTCAGTGTACTGTAATTTGCCCACATCCTCTTCTAAAGTTATATTGAACTCGATCTCCTAAAGTATAATAGTTAAGTATACTATGCAAACATAATATGAACTCAAAAACAGCAAACTAATAAAATTTTCAGCAAGTGTTACCAAAAAAAAAATTCAATATTTATAATATTTATTTCAATGCAAATGTTCATTTCAGTTTAATAATATATTATTCTAATTAAAAAATATATATTTATTACCCACACAGGAGTATTTTCATTTCACTAAAACACTATTTTGTGTAATGTAATATTTTTGTTTGAAATAATATTTTTAACATTAGAGAGTTATATTACTTCAAGGTTAATTTCAATCTTTTTATGCAGTAATCTTACATGAATGCTTTAATCTTCATTATTCATAGTTGCGTAGTATAGGTTAGTATATAATAATTTATAATGATACATTTCACTGGAAAAAAGCGACACAAAAATCTGACCTATGAGTTATGACTTCTCAAACGCAATTAACAATCTTTACCATTGAATACATGTAATATGTAAATGTTCAGTTGGACACAATCATTTATTGTACCAGGCGCGGATCCAAGGGGGGGCCAAGGGGCCATGGCCCCCCCGTAGACTCACGCTTAAATGGACTTGCATTACTTGCATTTTTATTAGACTTATAGGCTGAAATTTTATTTAAGATGCCCCCCCCCCCCGTAAATACGTTCTAGATCCGCGCCTGTATTGTACTACTTAAATATTTAATTTTTTTAAATTTTCGATTTTTTTCAGGAGAAAAACAAGAAACGTGTTCTATCAACGATTCGTGGTACCGCTTCATTGAACCCGAAACGTTAAAACCTTTGCAAATGCTCATGATAATAATTTTCTTCACCAATCTTTTGTCGGGAATACCGTACACACCGTATCTGATATCCGTATTCGACAAATTCCAAGTGTCTTTCCATTCGGCTTGGGCAACGGTTGGTCAATATATAAATTTTAAAATCATGTTTATCTATAGGTATACGACGTGATTATGAACTATTATATTTCCAATAAACTATAGAGGCTAAACTGCAGACTAAAACCTGATTGTATAAAAAGTCTAAGGTACTGGCTTAAAAGATGCGGCTTCATCGGTTAAAAATAAACGAGGGATCGCAAATTCCCTTGAAGCCTTATATGAAACATAAAGAACTTTGCTTTATCAAAAAAATTATAATAAATCAAGCTTTCACAATCTTCGCACATAATAATATTATCCATTAATTTTTATATTAACTATACGTTTAAATATTATATATGCTATAAATATTAGTTGAGAACTCAGAACATTAAGATGAGGGTTCTCAATCCACATTCTAGTCGTTAGCTGACTAAGTATTAAACTGGTATTTGAGAGTGAAGTGCAGGTAGGAACTAGGGAGTAAACAATTCGTAAGGTAAAAAATAGATTTTGTAAATCGAAAAGGAAAATTTGACATACATAATGTATATTGAATTGATATTACAAAAACACTATAATAAATTATATAAGTAACAATAATAATGAGTGTGTGTGTATATTTACTGTATAGACGATGTACATGGCTTTTGGCGTCGCTGGAAACGTGCTGACCATATTCTCCATAAACAAATTGGGAAAGAGATTTTTGGCTTTGTGCACAATGGCTAATTGTTCAGTTTGTTATCTGTCCATCGGGATCATCGGAAACGTATTGCCACCGTCTCCAGTTACGTCGTGGATTAAAATCGTGTTGTTTTTCATGTCGACTTTTTTTTCGACAATGGGAATCATGCCTATAATGTGGATTCTCATGTGTGAAATTTTCCCAATGAAGTAAGCACACGACGTCCACAACATAACAACTATTATTTAGACACTTCTAATATAATATGTATTATAAATTATAATTGATACTATACCAAAAAATGAGAAAGGTTGCTAAACAAATATTACAGTGAGTTCCTCTTAATGTGATTTAGATTCTATTAACTAATTGTCTCAAAACAACATTTTTTTTTTGGTTAACTCATAATATTTTAATTTAAAAAAAACACATTTAAGTAAATATTATTGAAAAAAAAATTTACAAAGAAGAAAAAGCTAATGCCCAATGGTTAATTACACTTGTCACGGAATTTATTTCTCATATTATAAGACTATAATATATTAATATTACATAATAATGGTATGTTATGAATATTATGATTAAAATCAGCTCTGATTTTAACTACTAATCCATAAAAGCGATTAAATCCGTGGTACACAATGGTCTAAAAAAAGTTCTTAACGAAACAAAGCCCTATTTGATATTTTTTTTTAGTTCAATATAAACGAACAATTCTACAAACATGTCATCACAGTAGGTAACCGCCCGAACTCACTGTAGTACATATTTTGCTTATAGCTACGAATATAATAATATAACATAACGCTTACGAGTTTTCTCGTTGCCTTGTATTCCAGAAGTAAAAACGTCGGTGCCGGCATTAGTTCAGCGATATACTTCATCTTGAGTTTCCTGATGACCAAGTTCTATTTGGATCTCGAAGTGATTACAGGTTTCTATAATACTTTCGTTTTGTTCGGGACCATAGGCATAGTCGGTCTGGTGTATTTGTACTTTCAACTTCCCGAGACCGAGAACAAGACGCTAAATGAGATTTCGGAACACTTTAAATGCAAAAACACGAAAGCTGATGTGCCAACTGGTTTAGCTTAAAATAATATACGAGTTAACAATTTAACGAATGAACTATAGTATTGTTATTACTATTATTACCCATGGCCATAGCATAGTTTGTTGTTAATTTTAAATGCAAGTTTTACGTCTTATATATAATGTATAGTGATTTGTTGACCGTTTACATTCGTGCGTTTTCACATTGTTATTGTTTAGTTTTTATTTTCACTGTACTTACCTATATCATTTGTATATTTTTTCTACTAATTTTATTTGTAGTAATATCCATAAGAATCTCACATTAATCGTGGGCGATGGGGGTTACACCACACATTATTGCATCACAGATAATATTATATACTCCTAAATTCTGATATCAAACTTTTCCATAATTATACTTTATTACAACCCCCTTTCATTTTAAGTATCATAATTTATTGATTATAAATGCTGATTGCTCAAATTATAAATTGTATATTGTAACCTACTGTGGTCTGTGTTGTATGATATATTCTGTAAGTAATAAACGTTAACAAGCTATAAAACATGTGCCAATAGAGACTATGCAATTTTTTTCTATTAAAAATAGTTTATATATTAATTGTCTTCCATTTTTTAATTCCTATTCTGTATAATTTATAATAATTATAATATTTATTCATTATTATAAATTATAATAATTTGTAGAAAAATATGTATAATATTGATAAATCTTTAACAATTTTCAGTAGTTTATCATGATGTTTAAAGAAATTACTGTGAAAACTGAAAAGTATTACACTTAAAATTACGCCTGTCTGCGTAGGTATATAGTGCAAATTGAATACTATTGGGGATTTAAAGAAGTATAATAATAACGTATGAATAAATGTGTGTAATACATATTATATGTAATAAATTGGAAAGCGATATTCATCTTACTTTAAGCTGGTCGGGCTGTATAATTATTGTTGTTTTAAATTATCCAAGCCAGTCTTAAGTCCTTGAGTTTGCAAATAACAGATTCGAGTGGTAATAGCGAGTTATTCAACATATTTTTTCGCATGGAACATGGAAGCAGATATCAAAATATAATGAAATCAAGTTTTTATTAAAGTGCATATTAAATTTTACTTACAAAATGTGTATCGGATAATTTACATAATTCATCTATAAATAGGCTATACAGGGTTCCATATTATGGTTAAAGTTGGCGGTTGGTATAATTATAAATGTATAACATAATAATGTACTTGAAATGAATGTATTATGCATTATTATTATAGAAAAAAAAACAGTACACATCATGTGTGCACGTCATGTTTTATTTTGTTACATTTCAATGTAATGTCTGGATTAAAAAATATTCAAGGGGAATGGGAAATATCCCATTGCGCCGAAAATATACTGGAGGAAATCGTCAATTTCATGTGAAAACGGTGTATTCACACCATTACTTGAAGAATGTACCCATCTGGACAAATCTTCGAGTGCCAAAATGTAGTACCTAGATGTGTGTTAAATTTATTGACTCGTGCCGGTGCCAAAATGCCGTACGGGTTGAGTTGTCGTGCGTTGCAATTACCGCATCCCATTGACGAGAGCGCAACAATTACTGCGTGAAATTGACGGTACACCCAATGATACTGTGAACGAGTTTTTCAAGGGGGTAAATCACTGGCACAAATTGTGTACACCAGATTCCAGATTACCATGATTTCCCAATGATTACCATAATTTCTATGATTTCCAATGATTTCCAAGATTACCAAAAGATTTCCGTGATTACCGAAGGATTTCCGTGATTACCAAAAGATTTCCGTGATTACTAAAAGATTACCAAGAATTTGTACACTGATTTCCGTATGTGATCTACCCCCTTAGTTTTTCTTTTGCTAGGTTAGCCGGCTCTCTTGACGCGCGCGAGGCTGGCAACACGAACCAACTCCGTAGCACGACACGCGGTACTGAGACCGTGTGAAACGCGCGTTTAGCTCAATCCACAGTTGCCTGATTGCAGGGCAAATGTTGATGATGATTTTAGGAAGGTATATCTGGAGTATCTTGGCCTATATGTTTGTGAATATAGAGTGTGAATTCGTGAAACGTGTACAGGTGTTTCAGTGTTTGCACGTAGACACTCCAATCAATAATTATGATAATCTATAACAAACCGAAACAATGGTTAGATCTTTGCGTAGGTGTATGATAGAATATAATAAATAATTGACAGTTAACATTACACGATCAACAAGTACCTTATAACCCTTACAGCATAGATTAATAATAAAACGGCCAATATAATCGTATAGATAATAATACAATATGCAAATTATAAAATCTTTAATTTACGTATCATGTACAATGTTGTATTGCACTACCTATTCATGTTTTTAGATTTTAAATATTATGTAGGTACTATCAAACAAATTTAGCTCGTAATCGTCTGGCCAGAAATAGCTGTTGCCTGAATAAATTATTCACATAACGCAAGTCATCAAAAATAAATATATAAATATGCAATACACGCCCTTGTGAATATTTAAATTAATATTATAAATTAAAAATTATTTAATTAGGAAATAGGAGTAGGTGAGCTATTCGAGCTACTATTAAATAATATATAATTATTATAAGCTGCACAATTTCTATTATTTATTGTAATTTGTATCTAAGTATTTATTCAATGTTGCACACACATTATTAAGTGACAGTCCACAGACGGGAAATTTACTAATCGATGAAAAACTGCAATACAATAACAAAATCGTATAAAAAGCCTTGTCAACGCAGGTATACATAAGACATAAATGTATTTGTTTTTATTTATTAACATCCGAGGTCAACAGTCAGTATTATTAGTCTGACGTATATTACAAATAGTGTTTACTTTGGATCCTACATCGGGATTTCCACATGGTACCTATCGATAGCGAATCAGCAATTTCTATTTTTATTTGAATCATTATCGATCGAAGTAGATGCACAATTTTGTTTAAGTTTCCATCACCAAATATTTTTTATATCTATCAACATTGGTAATTTATATTATTAATGTTAGCTAAATATTTTGATGGTCTTATTGGTCTTAATAAATAAATCAAATTTGCTCCCAAGTTAGCTCATCATTATTACCGATGTAATTCTGTCACCGTATACTGTGGATATTCAATAAAATAAAACTATAGTTATTTGTTATTATTGAATTATTATTAAAAACTACGATATAATAGCCGTAGTCTTGTATAACAAGAAAGTAACTGCTATAATATAATATTATAATTTATAATGAGATGAATGAGAATTCTAGCCCTTGGGGGCTTGGAAATACTAATAATATAACCTTTATCTCGGCCCACAAACAAAACACTACAATTTAATAATATATTTAGTCGGTACCGAACTTGGTAAAATGGTTGCTACTTGCTATAACTAAAAGTATAATAGACTCACAACTCACAAGCAATATCGACCAGCAGTATTCAAACCAGAAGGCACTGTTGCCTCAAGTCCAATGTCCAAATACATATTATTCACAAAACACGTACACAAGTACACAACAAATATAGAATATAAATATTACAAGTACATAGTAAGTATCATGTTTCCTTGTGTAGATCGTAGATAGATCAATAACTTGTAAGTTGTGAGTGTAAATATAATAATACCTAAATTGGCTAAATTACTGGACTATTCGAGCCAAAATAACGTTTAAATAAATAATAATAGATATATTTTTACTAGGTTATTCGAACCGTATGAGTAGATGAGTTATTCGGGTTAAGTACCAACCAAATATTGAAATATATACACTGTAATGAAGAACGTGAGCTGTATAAAAATACTATGGACTTGCTACGAATCTACGATAATAGTATAGTGGACCGTGATAAAGTCAATCTGTAATTTATGAGGAATTTTATATATTCTTAAAATGTATACGTTTCTCATTTGTTTTAAATAAAGATTGAAATAATCGATTTATGTACACGATAATATCAGTCACTCCTCCACGAGTGTGATAAGGTCAATATATTATATTTTTTTTTTTTATAGTATTATACTCATTGAGTCTCAATTAATCGAAAAAGTAGTTATATCTATAAAGTTTAGTATTTAATTATTTATTCATTATTGAAAATTATTATTATTATTACCAGAAAAAGCATTATCCTTGTTTTTAAATATTGAAGTATGTATCTACCTCCGTTTATTTTCAAGTGTCAGTACTACACCGGTAAATGTAATATACGTGGACGTGACAGAAACCTCAATATATTTTGTTGAGATTTGAACAAAAACTTTGTCGGTTAACCCACATGAGCATGTTCAGTGGGGCCCATTATTCTGTTGAAATAAATAAAAATAAGAATTCACTTCTTAAATAAGTACTGAAGACGTATGTTGTGACCAAAGACACAGGGCGAGCGTAAACGGCCATTGATGATGAGGAATTAACGGCGACCGGCAGGATTGCCACCGAGTGAAAAAGTGAGAGGACCGTCGGACGGCACCTCGGTCTTGACACTCTTCATGAGGTTTGGCAGCGGTGGATTGGCTAAAAATGTGGCCCGTGGAAATTGCCGTGCGATAAGCCCACCCAATTATTATAAACATCCGTAAAAACCTTTTTTATTTAATGAATTGTCTTATTTATAATTTAATACAATAAATGTTGGACATTTGAGTACGTACATTATTTTTATGAATTCCTAAATTACTAACTAGATACACTTTCCTAGCAAAAAAGATGAACCTAAGATCAATCTAGACTTTTCAGTTAATCTCTCTTCGGTAAATCATCTGGGTTCGTCAAAAATAATAATCTCAATATCACGGCAACCAGTTTCTCCACATTAATATAAATCCTATGTCGCTAAGAAACAACACTAATCCTACTACACCAGATACTTGCATTGCTTGCTAAAACTAATTTACCGGATCATAATTTGTATAACTAAGTACCTACTGCCGTCTGTCATAACTCATAAGTAATAAATTCTCTAAATACTCATATTAAAAGACTTTTTTTGGGAAGCACCTCAATTAAATTTTATATTAGTTTTCATTAAAGCGATTGGCCAATGTAAACATTGATGTTTATACAAATAATACATTTTTAAATTATTTATAAAATCAACTAAAAGTTAAAAACACTTTATTATGAATTCAATATTATAAATTGTTTAGATTTTTGACAATTAAATACATTTTAGAAATAAGAACAATACAAAAATGAATCTGGTAGCACTAAAAAAAAGGAGTACGATCCAACTGAAAAATAGGTACTTAATAATGTTGCATAATAATAGTTATTTTTCATATATTGTTGAACAAGAAGTCAAGAAATACATACAGCATACCTAAATATAATATTATAATTAGTGAGATGACATAAAAAGTTCCAAATAACTAATAACATTTTGGTTTTGAGTGAAGGTTTGAATAGTGGCATTTATTATACTCTGATCATTTAAAAATGAAAAGCCTCCCAAATAAATTGTAGTAGTCAATATTTTATTAAAACATGTTTATAAAATGTACAATTTATAAAACGATCTAATAATTCATTGAACAATAATAAAAAAAAATCAGTTGTACACGAATAGCACAAATAACAGTCACCATTTAAATATAATTAACTATTATTAACAAAAACAAAAAAACAATATTATAAAAAAAATAAAAACCTTGAAATCAATAAATATGAAGTGACAAATCATAAAACATTGAATGTAAACTAATGTAAAACTTAAAAAATAAAAATAAAAATTCATACCAAATATAGAACAATAGTGTTATTGTAAATATTAAACAATTTAATAAAACATTAAAGCATAAAAAATATAAAAGTTAAGATTGATAATAATTAAACAATATTTGGTATAAAAAAATAAGTCACAAACAATAACATTAATCAAAACAATGCATACTATGTAATATGAAGATTTTATGGAATATTTCTAAAAATGTTAGTTAAAGTTTCTAGGAATTCTATAGACTTTATATTTTAAGGTATTAGCAAACATCAATGTTTTGTCAATTTGATGTTTCATGAAAGTTTGATTACGAATAATTAACAGTGTACATTCCAAGTATTTATTGATGGACATTCCAAGTAGACTCTGGGCGACTAGATAACGGATCAAACCTAGTTTCTCCAGTAGTTGATTTAACAATTTCTCCATGACAAGGACTATATCTTGTTGCAATTGATCGCCATCAATACAGTTCTTGTTCGGTATGGGATAATGTAAGATATCTCGCATGTATGACATGAGTTCACACAGTTCATAGGGAGTAACATCCAAATCCAATTTCTATAATAAAAAATAATTTATTTGTTGTTTTATTCATAACTTATAAATATATTCAAAATTACCAATAATAAGTCATTCAACATTTGTGGCCGATCCCTCAACATCTTTGTGGATCTGCAAATCTTTTTTTGTGCGCCTTTTGTAATGGAGTTTCTGTTAACTTTAGCTATAAAACTATCAATGTTGTCCTCATCGATGAATACAATTTCAAGATAACTGAGGCTATTGAAGAACCATTGGTATTTATGTAGTTTCAAATAATGGAGCCACTTGGCAACTGCTCCTTCCATTTCTTGATTAACAATAGTTACGTTGATAACTGGCTGTGGATTGCTCTCAGTAGAAGGACTATTGACATTTGCAATCATTTCCAGGTGGTCATATCCGTAACATTCGACTAAAAACAAACAGAATTTTATTAGTTGAATTTTATTTTCATAAAAACTGTAACTTGATCAATATTTAATTCTTACTGCTTAAGTGTGGTTGACCCCGAACTGATTCTAAATTGGTTGGTTGCATCATATTTTTCCAAACACGCGTATGCTGCTGTTGAGCAGATCGCTGGAAAGGGTCTATTTGTGGTGGTCTGACATTTTTTATCCAAATATTTTCTGTCAGGGTTTCTTCTGGCATATGGCATTGAGTGTTGCTCAACTGATTTACTTCACTAATGAGTTGTTTCAAATTCCTAAAAATAGGTTAAAATATTATAACCTAGTTAAAAGATTTGAAAAAGATTAAATTGTTTGCCCACTCGTTAAATATTTTCAAGTGTGTTGATTTTCCAATTAAATGGCATATTTTCATTGTTTCTTCAATGTTAGTACCAGTTTTAATTGTTCGGTTTAGCATACACCTTATGTTGTACATGAGCTCCTCTTTGGCCATGATGTTGCTATTTTTTACCATCATCAATGATTCGTGAAGCTTGACATATGATTTTTGGGTTAAATTTTTTAACCACTTAGCAATTTGATTTGGATTATTAGATTCCATTTCTCTTCTTTTTATCTCTCTATACAACACTGCGTATATATCAGGATAGTCAAATGACAGATGATCGAGTGATTCCCTCAGACATTCTTGCCTCTCTTTGAATGATCTATGCTGCATCAATGTTGTAGCTAATTGTTTCATTTCGTCCACTAGACATAAAAGCAACATTTAAATTAAAAAGATATTTAATATAATGTTAATTATAAATTATTTTTTTAATTTTTGTATTTTTCATATTAATTGATATGTAAGGTAAAAATAAATAAAAAATAATAAATAAAATAATATAAAAAATTTAAAAAAATTTAAATATATATATTATTATATAGTAATACTTGAATTTTAAAAAAAATATGGATTATTTAAATATAATATCAGTAAAGATCAATATTTAAAGAATAACAAGAAATTTACCATTTTACTTTTAGTGTTATAAGGTATTTAATTTTAAATTGCATCAATTTTTAGAATCATACATACAATTATACCAATTCAAAAAAAATATAGTAACAATAACTGAGTTAAACAAATTGTGGACATTGTTATAATCCATTATAATCTATTGGGGATTATAACGTACAAACTTTGAAGTTTATTGACTGTAGTACTGTACAGTTTTATATTACCCAAGAATCACAAACAAATTTTTGGTCATTTTTAAGGACATTATTGGGTTAAAATACATTTTTTAGGGCATCATACTCTAGATATCATCTATGATTTATGACTTAAAAACAAACAATTGATATTGGCTCAAATAAATTTTAATTTTAAAAACATTTATCACCTGTTTATGAATTTATTATGGTGGTTGCCACCACTGAATAACCAAAATTCAAAAATAGAGTACCAAAGGCTAAAAGTGTAGGTTGTAATATTATAGGGCCGATTTTTTTTCAATAATAGTGGGCCGAATGGGTCTCAGTCCGCCCCTGATTGCTACTTGATTAGTATGTTCGATAAAAAATGAATTAGGAAATAGATATGTAGTAATAAATCCTAAATTTAAAGTTTTTGGTGGTTGTATTTCATTATTTATTATTGAGTGATTTATGACTTAAGCACTTATATAATTATAAGATATTAACACTTACTTGTGGAGTATTTATTTATTATCTTGAAGATAATCAGATTTTAAATAGACGTCACAGCGTAGTATGATGGTAAAGTATTGGCGAATTGAAAACAAATGACTTGAGAAACGTAAGATGTCTTGGAAGACCCGACGATGTATCCACTGCGACCTCAGAATACGGTTTGATGGGTGATCGTCTTGCCCGGACGGTCGGCAGGTTATTCTTCTCAAAATACCCCCTCTCAAAAAATCCCACTTCTGAATACGCGGATAGTACGTTTACTAGCCATACATATGGTGCCTTAAGTGTGTATCCCTTTTAACAGAGCTAGGTAGCCTATGTAGTATGTACATATCTATTTATTATGTGTACGTACAAAACTATATATGAATAGGTATTGGTAATATTATTTATTTCATCTTTTACGATATCAATGGTTTTTTATTGACCAAGTACTAAAAGAGCATGTTTGCACGGCCGAACTTTGTTAGCAGAACGGCCTCTGAATATTATACACATGATTTGAATTTTAAACTATAATGTCTTCCATAAAAATTAATCAAAATATTTAATTCGATTCTACATACCCAGTTCTTGACTTTTATAATTTTTTTTAAATATAGTATATTATACATTAAGCCAATAAAAATTATTATTCAACACAATAATAATGTTAAATATCTCAAACTCAGGGTACATTCTGGACCATAAGTTTAATCTAAGTCGCGTTCTGATAAAAAATGGAATCTTTTGCAGACTATAGTATTATCATATACTGAGTATAAGGTTTATAAGGACTAGGTAACCGTATACACTATAAATCCCGAACGAAAGGTCTCCGGGGACTAAAAGTCCAGATTTCATTTTTATTGTCAGACAAAGAGTTCAAAAATACAAAATATTCTATTATATTTTCATTTATAATGATAAATAATTTTTTTTTTATCCGTGGTACAGCTTCAATTCCTAGGGTTATTATCTTGAATAATTTATTTCATAAGTATATAATTAGTAATAATGAGTTGACGGTAGAAGAATTTTTAAATCGCGTAGATCAAAGTTTATGATACGGAATTATTAACAATTATTACATACCTACCTACGTTTTATTTCGTTATTTTAATATTGTATCTTACATTCTTAGGTACATACATTTTAATTAAGATATGGGTGGGCTCGTGAAACTCAAGTTTTGTTTTGTATTTAACTTCCAATTTCCATGATGATTAATAATGTTTATAAATATACACATCTAACCATTTTGATATAAAATTAAATGTTAAGGTTTTATAATTTTTAAATAGATATAAGAGTACCAATAAGTATAATATTTAAAATGTATTTAGAGAAATAATTTAATTTCCCAATATAGTAAGCACATAATTTATTAATGTGATAGTATTGTTATATTTACTTTAGTATGGGTAAGTGGGTAACAGGTAGTGTTTGAAAGATCAAGGGACGCCGTCTTTCATTGTTATATTCTACATACTATATATAGGTATATATATATAGGAACCTACATCATATGCCTTATGTGTTCTATAAACAATCCATTGGGTTTTGGACGTCAAGTGGCATATTATAAGTATTGCCGTATAGTCGAATAGACGATACTGTGATAAAATATTTTCAATTTAGAATCTTATATATTGTTGGAATCGTAGGTATTTGATTATTTGTAGTTATTAATAATGGCAATGCACTCAATTCGTATACATATAATATTATTATTACAAAATCCAAGTAGAAAAATGATTTATTTTGTGTCCTTTACACTTAAACAGTAATACACATTATAGTTAATCACTAAAAATATTATTGATCATATTTGATTAAGAAAAACCTCAGTATTGATTGTCTTGATTAATTTTAAGAAATTGTATAATAAAACCATATATTATTATAATAAAATAATATGTTCTCGTTTGATGAAGAGAATAGAGCATAATATTGCAAGAGTATAAAATATAAAATTGCATATTTTTACAGTTTCTATTATTAGTATTATTATTATTGCCATCATAACAAAAAATGTCCATGGAAAAAATAATATTAGGGCAAAACAATATTAGGCTCTAATCATGTTAAGTATTAATTAATAACTCAGAATTAATTTATATTTATTCATTCGAATACCATATACTATTCGTTCAGTTAATTATTGATGTATATATATACGGCATAATTTTTTTTTTTTTTTTTTAATTTAAATTAAGCCTCGGCAACTATGGCCATTGGCAACTTAATATTTATATCTTTATACTATAACAGTATAACAATGATGATAAGACAAAGTAGTATATGGTTAGTTATTTAAAAAAAAATTAAGTACCTACCTATTCATTTCCAAGTAATAAAATATTTTATAAAAAAGGTTCTTCATAGACCATAATATTATACATAGGTAGAGATATATGTTTCGCCGTTTCGGCCTGCGGTTGTCGCGGCACTGTAATCTTCCTTTTTCATTAGATTTGTCTTCATTGTCCACCTGTCACATGAGTCATGAGTGTGAAATGTGCATACAGCAAATTACCAAGGGTTGACCGTAGTCCGTTGAATGTAGATGTTAATATGTTATCTAAGTATCTATTTTTTTTTAATTATTTGAAACAGACAAACAGTAAAAAATAAATACTTAAATAATATGTCGTTTTCAATATTATAAAATTACTCGGATTAAAAACTGAAAAAACCCAAAAACATAATAATAATATTATAAAAAAATATATTTGTGTGATACAATATGATACATTATCAATGCCCTAATTATTCCTTATTGGTTATTACTTCAATATATTTTGATAGTTGATACGATTTATTGATTTTGATAGAACCACCTGTGAATTGTGATAGGCAAGTTCAGTTTTTGGTTACGAATTTGAATTTAGTATAACGTGTAAGACTGACAAACTGTGGAGTGTAGACCCGACATAATGATGACGACAGCACAACCGTATTTTATACTAAGATGAATTATAATAATGTTAGATTTGATGCACAAGGAATTTAAATATAAATTACCTATGTATGGATTTTTAGCTGCATTAATATTAAAATTGATCAGGTCAAAATCATAAACAATAGCAATCAAACAAAAAATATGGAGAATATTCAATCGAATAGAGGATGGTTGTACCATATAAATTATTTTTCTATTTTATTAATCAAGCAATATTTAACAACCGCCCTACCCATTGTGTCAGATATATCTGACAAATGACAAAATTAAAAATTATATTCAAAATAAACAAAATAAAATATATGTTTAAATAATTTAGTATAAACGATTAACCTAGCCTATAAATAAAAATGAAAAAAAAATTAAATTACAACAGTAATAGTATATATAACCTATATAAGTAAAATATACTATGTCTACACAGCATTATAATTTATAACCCACAATTGTATTTTTAACACTTTTGACAAGTGGCGCTGAGCTGGAATAATTTTATTCCTTTAAAAAAAAAAAATTGTCAATAATTTACAGTTAAATTATTGTAATATTATTAAATTTAGAATTAATATAGGTTGAGTATATACATATTACATATTTAATTATTTTATTGACGAAAGATCGTGTTATTTATAAATAACTGGGTGTATAAGTGTATCCGTGTAGGTATAACCAGACTTCGGCCGGGAGAAAATGAACAAAAATAAAATACATCGTTAGATCGGTTTAACCCCGTAATTAGTGCACCTCAATTCTGATTATGGCTCTTGGTATATTTTTAAGTTCAAACGTGGATCGTGGATCGAACTACTTCTCTAAACTTTCCTGATATATTTTATAAAAACAATCTGAAATCTACATACAATTTGGTCAAATAGTTTTTGAGCCTATGCAACAAACATATTATAAAGGAAATAATTTTATAAACTAACCCTCATATTATTATAGTCTTTTTAGTTATTTATTTTGTATTTTTGTTATAAGATATTGATTAATGACTTCATTCGAGGCCTTAAATTCGACGATGCTTTTTCATCATCTGCCCGAGTAACCAATGGCAACCATTTTTATTGAAAAAATTATTGAAATTAACTTATTATTAGGTACTATACAAAGTTAAGACAAATGGATTATTATTTATTTATTTTATTATTTATAAAAACCTTAGTGTCGACTGTCGAGTAAGTTACACCCGTAACGCTTTTTAGTCACAACAGCTGAGCCCATGAATTCGACTTACATTACCGCGTCTAAAGAAGTTTACTTTTAAAAAATACTAAATTCTTCTATTACTATTATAATCTGTAACCAAACATGGAAGTCCCCAATTATTCTAGTTCGGCTCAATGTTGATCAGTTAGTCAAGACACGTCTAACTGCATATTATAAAGATTATCTGTTAAACATTGTGTACTTGTGTACTAATGAATTGGTAACACCACTACACAACTATATAGGTATTTAAATAAGTGGCCCATGATTGGTCCTATCAATTTTATTAAACCATTAAATTAATTAATTTTTCATAAAACCCGGCAATAATATTTTAAAGTATCAGTAAACAACATTGTTTTGTCAATTTTATGTTATATGAAAGTTTTATTACCAATAATTTACAATGTATATTGTATTTAGTGATGAACATTCCTAGTAGACTTTAGATGACTAGAGAATGGATCAAACATAGTTTTTCTAACAGTTGATAACAATTTCTCCATGACAAGGACTATGCCTTGTTGTAATTAGTGATGGGAATTATTCAAATTCTAATAGTTTTACTGTAAATAATTCAAAAATTCAAATACTCGGATATCAGTATTCGAATACTATAACTTTTTTTAGTAGTTTTACCAGGATAACTCTTATACATTTATTCAATTCTTTAACCAATTTTCGCTCCCACCAGCCATGCATTCCTTTTCCTTTACCCTTCAATAGATTAGGTTAGCCGTTAGGTATACATAGGTATAATATTTAAATTATTGTTTTAAAAACAAAGTTTTGATAGTTTTGTACAAAAATATATAATAATTATACATCATTCAATATTAGGTATAACAGAAAAATAAATATACATATATAACTTTATAAGTAATAGTTTTACGCAATAATTTGTTCAATAATAATTAATAAATACTTGTACATTAACTTTCATCAATAAATATCATCGAATATAATATTATTATTATTATTATTTATATTGATTAATATTGATTTTGTAGTATCAAATACTGATAATCGAATTATTTGAGTAGGTATTCGAATATTCAAATTATTTACGGTTACACTATTTGAATATTCGAATGTACATTACCCCCTAGTTGTAATTGATCGCCAACAACACAGATCTCGTTCGGTATGGGATAATGTAATATGTATCGCATGTAGGATATGAGTTCACACAATTCATTAGGAGTGACATTCAAATCCAATTTCTATAATTAAAGGTAATTGATTAATCATTTTATTCATAAGCTATAAATATATTTAAAATTACCAATAATAAGTCATTCAACTTTTGTAGCAGATCCCTCAACTTCTTTGAGAATACACAGTTTTTTTATTTGTGCATCTATTGCAATGTAGTTTCTGTTTACTTTAGTTTCAAATAATGAAGCCACTTGGCAGCAACTGCTCTATCTACTTCTTGATTAATAATTGTCAGGTTCATAAGGATCTGTTGGTTGCTCACAGCAGTAGCACTATTAACATTTGCAATCATTTCCAGATGGTCATACCCCTAACGTTCCACTAAAAACAAACAAAGTGATAATAGTTAAATTTTTATCTCCATAAAAATTGTAACTTGATCAATGTTTGATTTTTACTAGTGTGTGGTTGATCTTGAGAAGATTCTGCCAAAAAGGTGTATGCATCTGTTGAGCAGATTGAACTTTGAATCACTATAAAGGGTTTATTTGTGGTGGTGTGATAGTGATATTGTCGTCCAAATGTTCTCTGTCGAGGTTTCTTTTTGCATATGGTGTTTAGGGTTACTCAACTGATTTACTTGACTAATGAGTTGTTCAAATTCCTAAAAAAAGGTTAAAATATTATTAAATTTGTGGTTGGTGGGTGGTTGCTTCATGTTGTCCATTAGACATTAAATTCACATTTACATTAAACAAATATTTTATGGATATTAAATATTAATTATATAGGTATTTTTGATTTATGATTATCTTTTATTCATTTTTGTTTATCAGATTTTTGTATATATTATATGGGTGGATATATCAGTGAATATTTTAAAGAAAAACATGAAATGTACTAACCTAATGCAAGACTATTATTTTTATGTGTTATAGGTGGTTGCATTTCCTTGTTATAAAAATGTTAAAGAAATCCGATTATAATTTTTAAAAAAGATATAGAATTCTTGATAAGTATATTGTGATTCTACCAAATTATTTTTTAAAATATTAAAAAAAAAAATTTATTACATATTAATTAAAAGTTTTATTATTAAATGTACTTCACTTTGTTGAAAAAAACATGTAGAATTGGTTTTTAAAAAAATCATCTGGCCAAAGCACAGCTTATTTTCTAACTATTAATTTTAATCAAAAAACAACTCTAAGAAGCATACTAAGGGAAATACAATAATATCATTTTTACATGAAATTGAAAATAGATATAAATAACATTCAATTTATAACTCATATAAAAATTGATTCAGTTGGCGACATAAGTATACCGTAATGAGAAAATGGAGTTAAATAAAAAAAGATATGTTGCTGATCGTGGTTTAACTTTAAAACTAAGTTTGGTGTTTTCACTTTTCAGTTTTGAAAAGCAATCAGTGGCAGGCGGCAGCATGGTCTCTTTCTGTCCGCAACGGTATCATTAAAATTTCCAATTTTCAAATGTATTTTAATTATATATAACTGAAAATCTTTAGTTAAATTAAATTACCTTCAAATAATTGATCAGGTCTACAAAACTCTGTTACAAGTTGTGTAGGTAATTTTGTGGTTTATGCTTTCTAATCGATGTAAATTGCTTAAAATTTCATAGATAACTCATAATTCAAATAATTTTTACATCAGTTCAAGGCTATTGAACACATTTAGAATGAAAATATACAACCAATTTATGCCAATTTTTTTCAAAATAATCTATAGATAACACTCTAAATTTTGATGTTTTTAATCTGACATAATATTGATCTGATTATGTAGATACCTACTAATGTCTGATATTTATATTCTTTCATAATCAGTTTCATTGTTTTGCACAAACCATTTCTTGTGCCAATAGTAAACAAAGCATTCTTTGCCCTAACATAATAAAACCAAAACAAAACGCATGCATACTATATTGTATATAATATTTAAAATAAAACCTGTAGTTAACTCTATTTTTTCTGTAGTTGAGCCGTAGAGCCGAAGAGGTGCAGATTTGAACATACATATTCCAATTCTGGATTCAAATTTCTCTTCAAACCTTTTCTTTTGACACATTTGATTGTATTTGTGTTGTTTTTGTGTTGAATTTGGGAAAATTGCATTTTCATGGTTCTTAAATTGTTCAACTCTTATATATGTATCAAACTACAAAACTCATCTCTAGATTGAGTAGCTTATGCCATAATTTATGAATAATGATTATATTTATCAAATAATTGAACTAATAAAAATATGACTGACACAACGTTTCACTCAAATGTTATAGACATACTGTACATACTACATTATATGAAATAGACTGTCGAGAGTGTTGAAGACAGAGTTTTAGTTTTTACGATAATCATTTTCTTATCTTAGTCCGTGGGATAAATCGTACTATATCAGCTTATAAACAATAATTTATCATAAATTTAAACTAGAGGGGTTTGACGGATGGGTCCGCGGTGACCACATAACAGGTAAGGAGTTGTCATAACAAAATGTTAGAAAAATTGAAAATGTAGAATAATTAAAATGTGGAACGAGTGGTACAGTACTACAGTCCAATAAAAATCGTTTATTTTAAATATTATTATTTTCATAAGCAATGGTAATTTTAACAATATCATTGTAAAATGTTGATTAACCAAAGAGAAGTTAGCTAGCCCCTGTGGCCTAATGGATAAGGCATCGGTCTCCTAAACCGGGGATTGTGGGTTCGAGTCCCACCAGGGGTACGCGTCTATTTTGCAATTTCTTCGTGTTTTTTTCACGCGACGGATGTTAAACATATTATTATTCTTAATGACCAATGTGGGTTTTATAAATTTTATAAATACACCTTGTAATATATTTTTGGATTAATATGTCATCGTATTCATATATTTTAGTGAAGATAATATTATGATTTAAACTTACTCAAACCGTTCATCCATATTATAATGGATTTCGGTTTTTAAGCAGATGTATAACACTGACAATTGTTGTTTCCGTCTTACGCGTCTTACCTCAGCATAGGTTCGTTAGTTTTAAAATTAGAGTGAATCGACCTATCATGAAACTTGATAGTAAGAACATAATATCTGTGTTTGTGTCTTGGTTTTTTACGATAGTCCAATTCTTTAGCGAGTTATGAGTGTACCTATAATATAGTGTAAATTAAAAATGCTTATAATTAATTTAAAAATTGAACCATAGTAAAAATACTAACTTACAAACACAGACTATGTTCTTACTACCTAGTTTCATAATTAGCCGATTTCCTATAATTTTTAAACTAACAAAGCTACACTTGATCAGCTGATCCTAAATTTTCCATGCTACCCACTTGTAAGACGGAGACAACAAATGCCAGTGTTACGTCCTCTTAATACGATACATCTCATACCTTAGTATATCTATAAAAAAAATTGTGCATTTATATTTTTTATACTTTTTTGTCCCTTGTATGAACTACTTACAGGTAAGCTTTGTATTAAATTTTCAAACCTTAGCTAAAAAACTGAACTTTTTATACACTTTTTACTGCACAATAATTTGAAAATTTTAATGGTTTTGATTAATTTTGTCAACATTTTAACTTTAAATACTTCATGCCTATGTATCTCTAATATTTTGGAATGGTTTATGTAACAGTTTACGAGGAACCTTGAAATGGAAATTTACAAGTTTTATGATCGAGCAAATAATTACCAATTGAAAAAAACTAAAAAAAAACTGAAAATTGAAAAAATTGTTAGGAATAGATCAAAATAAGTCAAAATATTTTTAAAATGGTCATAATAAATTTGGTAACAATTTTAAGTATTTACAGTTCTTATGTTTTGAGTTTCATCAAAAAAACAAAATTGATTATGTCAAAAAATGGGTTTGCTTAAAAAATTTTATTTTTCTCCGCACATTTGAAAACTACTGGAAATTTCTTACTTTTGATATCCTCAATCCTCCTTAAAGTGCCTACTAGGTTCTCTTCTCTACTAGAAAGATTCTGAAGCATTATAAAATTAGAACATTTTTACCGTCCCAATACTGCAGATGGAACGAGCCAACGGGGACATGACCGCTTTAGCCCTCTTGCAGTACGCCACTGCATACACAAAATGTAAAATAATATTAATTATGAAATAGTTATCTAAGGACTGAAGCGATGCGATAGCAGTTTCTCTCGTATTAGTTGTACCAGAAGCTAGTGTTAATAATAAAATAAATACCTACCACAGAAAAAAAAATGTCCAATTGTAAATTATGGAAAATAAATATGGTACTTTCTTGAAATAAGGAAATGGATTTTTTCGAATACCTACTATAGTTTTGTGTAAAAAATCCGTTTTTCCTTAGTTTTTTTTTTTACTTGCCTGATTACTTTGAAAAATACTGGAAATTCGAGATCGTAAATCGTGTACAGATACAAAAGAAAACAAGTATAAAATCCATACATTCATCGCTATTATATTCAAGCGTTAAAGTACAATGAAATTTATATATATTCGAGCCTTATATTATGAAATACTGGACTTAACTACTTAAGTGATTTAAATTTGTAATCATAACTCAAGTCCAAAGTACCTAACATATCTGTAGAAGACATATTATATAATATTATATAGTATTCTTGGCACTGTTGTTATGTGTTTATATCATATTATATACTGTGTTATTTTACTTTGAACTCGGTATCAAGGTCTTCGACTGATTGAATATTGTTATCAAAGTAGCTAGTTTAATACGTATTAAAGACTGAAGTGGTATATCTAAACCCGTTTTGCCGAGAACATTACCTACCTATATTAGTATTCTATAACTGAATTTTAGTTATCAGCATTGATACAGTGTAGTAGTGCACGAGTTGGTGTCGGGCGAGTCTACACCAAATTATGTGTCGAATTTTTTACTTGCCTGTTCAATTTGTTTTTAAGGATCTAATGACTGTTAAATGTACTCAATCTAAGTGAACAAGCCTGCAGTGTAATATTAAAAACAATTTTCGTCCAACATGTTGCCGAGCATGTTTTTTTGTTCAGTTTTGTGTATCGCAGCCTGCACCATAGTCACAAGGGCCGCAAATATATTAGTATTTATGCCGTTGCCGATGAAAAGCCACTTTCGAGGATTTCAACCGTTGTTCGAAGAGTTAGCTCACCGAGGACACAATGTAACGGTAGCTAGTTCATTCCCTCTAGATCGTCCGCTCGTCAACTACACAGATGTAGGGCCATTCGTTAACAAAGGAAGGCGTAGGTACTCTAAAAAATGCATGCGTTGTTTAATATAAACCAAAAACACGTAAAGCTTACAAATAAAATCAACGTAACAACGTGAGATCAACGCGGTTCAATTAAAAAATTACAATTTTCAGACTTTTAAAAAAATATTATTTAATGTATTGAATTTTATTCCGGACTTGGTACTCTGGCCCACTTGCACGTGTAGGTAGAATTGTAGAAACAAATAGGTAAGTATTAGTTACGATACAATTATAGGTATATTATAATTTATGGCACTTTCGACTTGTTGCTCGTACAGTTGTTTATCGTACTAATTAATAGGCAATAGCTATAGTGCATTGTATATTATAATGCACAGACAACAGAGACCGTGATACACTATACAACTATCAGTTCGTTAGATCAATCAAATTATAATTATATTATATTAGATTTGATAAAAATAATGATAATCAAGTATACATTATTTGTTACTGAAATTCTAGTCTTTCCGCTATTGATAACGCGAGTGTTTTTTGTAATTAAATTTTTTATTTGTATTTCAGTGAGAAATGTCATGGAATTAGTGCATATGAACTTCGTGACGTCTGTCCAATTAAAATGGGACCTTGGCATAAGGATGTCCGATTCCGTCATGTCACACGAGAACATGAAAAATTTCGTCCAGTCGAGTTCGAATTCGTTCGACTTGGTTATAATCGAAACGTTCTGCCAAGAGTACACTGTCGCCATGGGCCACAAATACAACGCCCCCGTCATAAATCTGTCGCCGGCGATGCCCTGGGTCAGTGTTAGCAAATGGCTGGACGTCCCTGCCACATATTCGTACATACCGGACATGTGTTTGCAATCAACAGGCGATATGGGTTTCATAGAGCGTTTAAAAAACACCATAAGCGGCCTCATGCAGTCGTATGCAGACAATTTCGTGTATTTTCCCAAAATGAAGGAAACGATGGACACATACATCACGTACGACGGTTGGGAGTCCAGGCCTCCGCTCGAGCAAATGCTGAAAAATGTCTCCCTAACACTGGTCAACTCAAATTATTATGCGATTGGTGTCGCCAGACCGTATCTTCCCGGTATCGTCGAAGTGGGCGGAATGCACATAAAACCCCCGAATCCTCTACCCGAGGCGAGTTACACAAGTTAGATGTACCTTACTGATTTAAGTACTAATAATTATACTATACTACTTTCAGTTGTAAAAAATAGTTGTATTTTTAAACATCTTTAATTTTTTTGTTTTAGAATCTTCAAATATTTTTAGATGCTGCTGACGAAGGAGCAATATTTTTCAGTTTCGGTTCGATTATTAATTTAAATGACTTACCCAATGAAAAATTGGAAATTGTTTTAAGTGTTATTCAAAAATTAAAACAAAAAGTAATTATAAAATGGACACCTAATGACGGTGTAAAACTGTCTGAAAACATTATGACTGGTTCGTGGTTTCCTCAAAACGACATTTTAGGTAAATATGTTACTAATACAAAATAAGAAAAAAATAAGCGAAGAAACAAAAAATTATAATATTATAATAATGTATGATACATATTAAAGTAGCATGTATATATTATAAATATATATATTTATATTATATATTACAATATCAGAATATATAATAATTATATCTTTTATAAATGTTATGTTAAATGTTGTGTAGCACATCCAAACGTTAAACTATTCATAACCCATGGAGGATTGCATAGCATAGAAGAAACCATTAGTAACGCAATACCTGTAGTTGGAATACCATTTTTTGCTGACCAGTATTTAAACATGAAAATAGCCGAGGAGAAAGGTTATGGTAAACTTGTAAATTTTTTTGAAATGACTGAAGAATCGTTTGGAAATGCCGTCAAAGAATTGCTGTCGAATGTGATGTATGTTAATTATTATGTCATATGTATATATTAAATAAATAATTAATACATAATATAACGTATTCTTAAAATAATTGGTATTTAATTAGGTATAAAGAGACGGCAAAGGTCCAGAGTCAGGTATTTAAAGATCAACCAATGAAACCCTTGGATCTAGCTGTTTACTGGGTCGAATATGTTATTCGGAATGGTGGAGCTGAACATCTTATAAGTGGCTCAATAGAGTTAAATGATGCACAGTATTTTTTGTTAGACATATCATTGATTTTGTTTGTATTAATTGGACTGATCATTTGGTTATGTTATTTGGTAGTGGCAAAAGCAATATCCAAAAAATTAAATACAGATTGATTGTTTTAAAACTTGTTTAATAATGTTTTATAAAACCTTGATTTTATAAATTATTATTATCATTTATAAGTCAATAAACATATTTTAAACAAGTATGATTTTGTGTTATTTTATTATTTTTCAGTAAGCAATAAGAAACTACATGCAAAGTGAAAACTGAATAATTTAATGTCAACATGTTTGTTGAAAAGCTGAGTAGGCATAGGAGTAATGATTTATAAATAATTATAATTATAATAATTTATAATTAATAATAATAATAAAAATATTTTTAAAAAACTTGAAAATGTAATACAACAGTCCTCAAAAGTTGTTGTTAGCGGAAATTAAAAAAAAAGTTTATCGTAAATCCACAATAATTTTTTATGAGCCTCTGAAGTTAAAATGTTGACAAAATTCGTCAAAATCACAAAAATTGGCAAATCATTTCGAGTTAAAAAATTCATTAAAAAAATGCTAATGTACGTAAATCTAAGATTTAAAATTTTTTCACCACATTCCTTTAAGCTTTCCTACATTTTTTTTAAAAAAAAAGTTAACCCGAAAGTCAAATTAATTTTTTGAGAGCTTTTGAAGTTAGACATTTTATATTCACTTGTAAATTTACAAATTCTCATAAAACGATTTTATTATTTTGTTGTTATTAAAAAATCATTAACCGTAAGTATAGTTGAAGTTTTTTTAAAAATGTTTATTTTATCATTTCCTATACATAATAACATTTTAAAAATATTTTGACTTGTTTTGAGGTATTTAAAGACGTTTTAAAATTTAAACTTTTTTTAAACAGTTTCTTATTCCATAAATGTTAATACATTTTTTTCGTTGGGTCAAACCACTTGATAATTTCATAAAAGGTTTCTCTAAGTAGTTATATTAGCAGTTGAACATTTTTAAAGATCTGTAGTCACGACAACATTTTTCAAAATCTCGAAAATGTTCAAATTATTTTATAGTTAAAAAATGATGAAACTTTATAAGTACTTACTACTTATATTACGATATATAATATTATTTATTATTTATAAATCTCTTACTTCACTATGAAATTTCTTCAATGCCATAAGTTATGCCGATATATGTACCTACTATGCATTCCTCTTTTATTCTTTTGGACGATGATGGTTTTGAATTTTAGACGATGGTGATGACTTATGATGAGGTATAAGTACTGAAATCGGAACTGTCTAACCGTGCGATTGCATTGACGACTGCCAACCAAAACCAAAATAATTATACATGTTATAACTTATAATATATGTTATAATATAATATTATAATATGTGTAAGCATGAAGATTAGAGATATTTATGAGATTATCTCTAATCTTCATGTGTGCAAGTATACAACCTATCTTACAGCGATGGTCGAAGGTCAGACGTACAGCTGTTTGTAAGCAAGGCTGTCCACGCTTGTTAATTGGTATATATGTTATAGGCATAAACCGTGGTTGTTTAGGTATAATCAAGTCTGGTACACCCATTATTATCTTTAAAGGCCACTGCAGTACCTGCGTACACAACAAACCGGATGGGCACAGTGAATTGGTATATTATACGTCACACAGCATTGCTGCTAGCGATTCCACTCCGACCCAAGCGCAAAATATTATTATTTTCTACGATCATGCCTACACTATTACTTTCAGTATATTATTATATTCGTCCGACTGGCCGCGCGGTCTCGCGCCGCAGTTGGACATCGACGTCGAGCAGACAAGGGTTTCACCGACTCTAAAATATTTCTACTACAAATCTAGTTCAAGCGACACTGAATACTGATCACATTATATCAATTATAAAATCAATAAAAATTTATTTCTTTTCTTTTCTTTTTTAATTTCTTAAATTTTCATTTTAATGTGTTGACTTATTATTTTGTTAATTTTTTCGTCATGTTCGCGGCCGTCCCGAGGCTCCTGCCGCTGTTGCTGCTGCCGACGGTCTTATCGCCGCCGGCCGCTCTCGCCGCGAACATTTTGGCGTTCATGCCCATGCCGCTGAAGAGCCACTTCGGCGGGTTCCAACCGATGTTTGAGGAGTTGGCTCGTCGTGGCCACAACGTCACCGTGGTCAGCTCTTTCCCGCTGGCCAATCGGCGCGTTCCGAACTATACCGACGTGGACGTGACGCCTGAAAAAGGTCTTCCCGGTGAGCATATATCTGCAGTATAATTTATTATTGTACTCAGTTAGCCCCCTCCCACCCCCCAAATGACGCCTGTCGATGAATCGAACATTTTTTTTTTATTGAATAAAATTTCCAACTACAACAGTATTACATTGTACAAAATTAACATTATAACAAAAAGAGTTGGTCACCTCCAAACCTGCAATGGCTGAGCGGAGATGACGGTTCCTTAAAATAAAATAGGTAATTACTTTTCTAATCCATGCATGCAATAAGTTGAATTTATACTTAAAGAAATTAAAGTTCATAGCTATACTAAAGTAGATTAATGAATGTAAACAATCAAAATCTTAACAATGTCAACCTAATTATAATTTATATTCTGAACTTAGTTTATATATTTTTTTATATATGATGGTATCGCAACACGTTTCTTAAAACTAAGGGGACTATAAAAGTCTTGCAGATTAATTTTTAAATTTAATACATACATTTATAAAAACATAATATGGTCCTGATTGTGCAAAAGTAGTTCTAAATTTAGGAATATTTATGTTAGTATTTTTTTAAATCTAGTATTATTATGTTGAATTATTATGTTTGTGAGCGAAAAATAATTATTGTAGAGAAGGTAACGTTACGTAGGTACCTATCAATGAAGGAGTTAAAAATTAAAATTAAGTTAAAACGTTGAGTTAATATTAACTAAGTTAAGTAACTCGTTACTTTTTTTTTTGAAACTAAATTTCAACTTAATAAGTTAAATTTTTAACATATTTAACGTGGTAACTTCAAGTTAATTTTGTACAGATTTCTTAAAATTAAGTTACATTTTAAATTTATAATAACCCATTGATTTATAACCTTGTTGGCTTAAGAAATATTAGATAGGTATCATAGAAAATAAATGGGAAAATGTATAATTAATATATAATTGTTATTAGTTTATTACCAGTTGAGTTTGATAAATAGTAAATACACAATACTCATAATATAGGTATTTTCAATTTGGTAGATAGACTGTATCCAGTGTAATGCCCACCCGCATGTAATAATAATTAATAGTTACACATTTGTGATTATTGAAGTATATACAATGTACATTATAGTATTATACATTATACATGCAGTACTATATACTATATATATATAGTATACTTAGAGTCATATGATATTGGTATATTGGATATATGTATATCATTGTCATAATATATAATAAAAAGAACACTAAACTACTTTTATATTTAGTTATATAATTGTATAGATAGGTACTAAGGGACGCTACGTTCGTGTACTTAATTAGTTTTCTTGTAAACCAATCGGCATTATCATTCCTCATCATTAGTCAGTCATTACCTAGTGATATTGTAACGCATACTCCACATATCGAGAAATACGTTATTACTTGAAATTATTAAAATAACCCACGGGGAAAAAATTATTCCTGAACATCTTTGTTAACACTATGATTTAAAATATTTATACTCCACGATTTATAATTTGAATTACGGTGTTGTTATTTTATTGTACTTGTTGGCTATTGCTTCATTCAGTGCGAGTGCGTTGTGCAGTACTGCAGTTCGATTTCGTCGATTTTTGATCAGGTTAATTTTAACTTACCTATTTAATCTTTTTTATTCATTAATTTTTAACTTGATGAAGTTATAAAAAATACATTCATTGACTTTTAACTTGACTTAATTTACTTTTTCTCATATTTACTTAACTTAACGAGTTAAAAAAAATCGTAAATTTGCCCAGCCTTGCTTATCAACATCTTAAGATAGTGTGTGTCTTATTTTATTTATACAATAATATACATTTCACTCATAGTAGTACTTAATTTTTTTAAATTCAGTATAGGTTAAACTAATTTCTGCCTAACACATCGCAAACAACCAGCAAATTCCGCCACTTAATCACGTCATACGGTATACTCTCATACCATAGTGCAGCGGTTCCCAAACTTTTACGACCACGGCACCCTTAAAAAATTGTTTGTGTTTCGCGGAACCCTAATGTCTAATCCAACTCAACTACAATTTTTGTGAATTAAAAAAGGAAAATCAATTCCTTAAGCTCTCAAGTCTAAATAATATTTTAATGATACTGTTAATGACTTTTCATTATTCAACTTAGTTTCAAAAAAAATTTTCAATCAAAAATTATTTAAACAACAAACATTAAATAAACATAATTTTCTCAATAATCTCATACATCTAACGGAACCCTTGACATTGTCCCACGGAACCCTAAGGTTCCGCGGAACACACTTTGGGAAACGCTGCCATAGTGAATAGACTCGCGATATAAATAGCTTGAAGTAGGACTAAAAAATCTATGATTATTGCTTTCTGAGTTTGAATAAAATATACAAAATTGATCATGTTGAAAACTGGTGTTTGATATAAATATTTTCATTTTCTCTCTGTTTTTATTAGTTTTTTTTCTAATTAATAAGAAAAGGACTGTGAAATATCTATTTTTAAAGGCAACAAAACAAACTTTGACCTTTCAAAGTACAAATTAGAAATAAAAAATACAATTTTTTTTGTTTTTATAATTACTAAAGTATATAGTACACCAACTAGATAAACTTTGCTGCTAGAAATCGGCGTTAAAATTGATGATTTGATGATTGGAAGTAATTTCGAACAAATGTTTTGCTTCAAACCGTGATAACAGACATAAAAAAAATATTAAATACACACACATTTGGGTGCGCATCGTTCTTAAACAAAATATTAAGTATTTATCATTAGACTCAAAATCTTGAAGCGGTAAAACGGAAATATTCACAAGTTTTTTGTTGATATTAAGAAAGGAATAATCGTAAAGACTTTAAATACCTATTCATTTAATAATTAGGTTCATCATATTTATAGAATTATATTATGAAATTCTCAATATATTTAGATAAGTTCTAAGTTATTTACTATAGGTACTTGATTTTTTTTAGTGTAGCTGTATCCATTGCACAGTGCATACTGACTGTATCAGTTGCGTACCCGATGAGGCTAAGGGGGCTCCATTCCCTTCCACTGGTTGTGTTATGGTATACATTTTATATGATAAAAGGCAAAGTAGAAACCACAATATTTTTGAAAACGGGTTTAAAGAAACATTTTGGGTGTTATAAATTATTTGTAGAGGTTATTGCGGTTACGGGACATATAGTAATAACGACCTGGTATAATGTAACAGGTATCAAATTATGATTTACTTTGTTTAGCCACTCCCTCCCCCTATTGAAAAATCTTAAGTACTCCACTGGACTGTGGCGTGCGATTGCTTTATTTTTGTTTAAACAGTACCTTCGTACTTATTGACGGTTTTTTAGTTAATCATGCCAATAAATATATATGTATCCGATTATAGACTTTTAAAAACATATTTGAATAAGCCATGAGTTCAGCACTAAATTTCAGAAATTGTATCGCTATATTGATTTGATCGGTAGGAATTTACAATAGACAACATGGTTGTACCTATATTTTGTTACAAAAACTAAAAATTGTTTGAAATCTACTTTATAGGGGTGAAAATGCAATACAAGCTCAAAAACCGTACAGTGATTTAAAAGTATAGAAAAGTTTAACGCGTTACACTGCCCCAACCGTTAGCGTATCCATATCGATCATGAAATATTAATAATTTTTGATTTTTTTCTGTCCATTCCACGCTGTTGCAGAGATTGACGTTATGCATTTGATGGATATAAATTTCGTAATGACAGTGACTACCAGATGGTTTTTCGCCCGTCTCTTGTCCGCCCAAATGGAGCAAGCGACTTTAATAGACTTTCTGCGATCGGAGGACAACTCGTTTGACTTGGTCATGATCGAATCTTTCCTCCAGGAATACACCGTGGCCCTCGGCCATAAATACAACGCTCCCGTCGTCAACTTGTCACCGGCTATGGTGTGGGTGAGCGCCAGCAAATGGACGCATCTACCTTCGACATTTTCGTACATACCGGATTGCTGCATAGGCGTCACCGACGACATGAGTTTCGTGGACCGTTTGAAGAACACCATCGCCGGACTTATACAAATGTTCGTCGAGGACTACCTGTACATTCCGATGATAAAAGCGGAAATGAGTAAGCACTTCGCGTACGTTGGTTGGCAGTCGAGACCGACCCTCGAGCAAATGCTGAATAACGTATCACTGACGCTGATGAACGCTTACCACGCGGTCGGAGTGTGTCGACCGTATTTGCCGGGCATCGTGGAAGTAGGAGGAATGCACATCAAAGAACCGAAACCTTTACCCAAAGTGAGCCCTTATATTAATTCGATAGAAATAATCATCGTAAAATACATATTTTATAATGTTTAACTCTGCAGTGGTCGGGAAAAATTAAGCAGAAGAGCTCAATCCAACGATTTAAAAATACTGCAGCGTTCCAAGTGCAAAATTGTTAAACACACGCTCTGTTGGGGGACTTTACCCCACTAACCCCCTCACTCGACCACTACATTTCAGCATAGTTATAACTATTGCTAGGGACTTCATGCCCTAAAAAACCTTAAAATATACATGCATTTATGCCCTTAAAAATTATCATATATGTTATAAAAATATGCGAAAATGCTAAAATATGCTCTTAAATATGCTCTAAAAATGTTTTTATTTTTCTTTAAGAACGCAAAAATATTACAAATTTGTGCATTAAAAAATAATACATATTTATTAAAAAAAACGAAAACACATAAGAATATAAGATACGATTAGACGAACTGTACTGACGCAAGATGAAAACATATATGATCAACTGACCGTATTCGCCGTATTCCTTATCGACCGATTTCGTTTTTCACAACACTCAAATAATTGGGAAATCACACGGTATAGATTATATTATAATAATTTGTATTAAATTTTTTTCCAATTTCTATAAAATTCATAATAAATGTTGTATACCTAGTACGCATGTATAAAATATTATTTTCTGCCGAGTAGGTATTGTTTTAATTTTAATAAAATATGTGAAATATGCTCTTAAAATCCAAATATAACAAAATATGATCTTATAAGGAAAAAACAGATGATTATGCAAAATTATTGCTTTAAACTTCTAGAACAATGAAACAAATTTCTATATTACTTAGCTATGTTTAGAATATTATTGAAAAATATGGTAACACCTTTAAGTCTCCAGCCCATAGTTATAACATATTAGTGGTTTTGTACTACAAATATAATACAATAATATAATCAAAAATATAAAATTGAAAATGCCATTAAGTAGGTATTAGGTATATCATTGATTCCGGCACTGTCGACGTAATTCGCAAGCAGGTCCACGAAAAAAATATCATTGACAACAATAAAAACCTATTGTTTAGGGTATTAGTTTGTGCCGCCACCCCACCTAAGTAAGTAGTTATTATGTATGCAAAAAAAAAAATGAAAATAGTAGAGGAGCTTCTCCCGCTTGCAACCCCCCACCATCCACAATCCGAGCACTGGTGAAACCTATTCACCGATTCATGTATTCAACTCACTCGAGTGCGCATAATTTTTTTAAAAATTATTCGTGAACTGCGAGTAAGTTTATTATTCATTACATTATTAATTTAAAAAATGATATTTACTAGGATTTACAAGATTATATTGATTCAGCTTCTAACGGCGTCATATATTTTTCTTTCGGTTCAATCATGAATTTATCGAATTTGCCGAAAGAAAAATTGAGTAGCATTCTCAATGCCATCAGTCGTTTGAAACAAAAAGTGATTATAAAATGGGTACCAGATAAAAGTATAAAATTGCCACAAAATGTAAAGGTCGGTTCGTGGTTGCCTCAGAATGATATTTTAGGTAATTCGTTGTTTGAATTTAATTGAGAATAGAATTTAAAATATAAAACGTATCTTATGACCTTATTTCCACAGCTCATCCGAACGTGAAACTTTTTATTACTCATGGAGGTTTGCACAGTATCGAGGAAGCTGTGTACAACGAAAAACCGTTGATTGGCATTCCATTTTTTGCTGATCAACTAACGAACATGAGGTTGGTCGAGAAAGTCGGCTATGGAAAGTTGATACCTTATAATCAAATAACCGAAGAATCGTTAGGAAACGCTGTCGAAGAAGTTTTATCAAATCCGGCGTATGTATACCTATGTCCTATATTATAAATAGTTCAGTGGCGTATTTTCAGGGGTGTGATCTGGGTCTTTTAGTTTATTGTTTGTTCAATTTCAGTGTGTTTTCTTTAATAAGTTTGTTGGTAAAAAAAATAGCCGGATTGCCTATGTAAGTGCACCTCGCATAAATATAGATGTTAATTATAACGAATAAAGAATATACGGAACTCGGTGGAGACTGCTGACGTTCATCTGACGAGCCGATTTTTTTTCTGATATCACATCATCACCCCATAGAGGGTGAAGGACATCGTAAATACGCCGCTGATGTAGGGCAGAGAAACATCACACTCAACAGTTATAATATCTTATAAAATATACATTGTGTTCAATTTTCCTATTTTCATCAAACAGGTTTAAGGATAAGGCGACGTTACAGAGCCGGGTGTACAGAGATCAACCGATGAAACCCTTAGATCGAGCAATATACTGGATAGAGTACGTCATTCGGAACGATGGAGCTCAATACCTAAAAGCCGACTCTATAGGACTGAACACTGCCCAGTACTTTTTGTTTGATGTCACATTGTTTTCACTTTTACCAACAGCAATAATTGCTTGGTTGGGTTACCGTGGAATAGTTAAAGTTTCATCGAAATGTAAAGCCGGCTGAATTAAAAAAAAAAATTAATTACATTTTGCTGTAGTGTAAAAAATCCTTACACATCGACTTTATTGATAATAATTCTCATTCGTACATTTGAAAGATACGATATTTTAATGCATTTCAATATTACTAGCTTGATTATGAATATTATAACTGAAGAGGGTGAAGGCCCAATGATGACGTTCTAAAGTGAATGTTTATATTCATAAAAGGTTTATGTAAAAATTTGAATTTTATTTAGATTTAGATTTTATATCAAATACATTTTTTCCTCTTTAAATTATATTTATTAAAAAGAGAATAATAATTAACACGAGAGATTGTTTAACAATTAAATGTACACTGTGTACCTATTAATTATAATAGATACCATGTGAATGAAGTTATATATATATTTCTTAAGTTATTGAACCTAATTATGATTCTATTGGCTATTTACACATTTAAAATGTTTATACTTTATTATACGTAATATATTACTATATTAGATACATATTATTACTATTGATTGTATTCTATGCAATAGTTTTGATCGATTCTTTGATGTTAATTTTAAATATTTAGATGTTTTTCTTTACCCAGTGCCCTGGACCGAAGTTAGGTAAACAAGGAAAAACACTAAAAGACGGAAATTGGAATGTTGAATTTAAAAAAAACATATGTGACAGTGGCATCTAGTGATAAAAGTGAACAGCGGAAACTGGTAGTTCAGTTGTTTCTGAGCTTAAAAATGTATAAACAACGCAGTTAAGATACCACAGCCATTATAGTCCGTACAAATAACAATTGTTTATAATTTATAATTTGTTTTATTGAAATTCATGACAGAGCCTATAATCAGTTTACCTAGTAGCTGTCCACAGATGTTAATGTAGAGTTCAACAGTTGTGATGGGTAATCGTTTTATTTTGAAATAATATTAATTTAATAATTATTTAGTTGACAACCGACAAGTAAACTATAACTTATAAGCATATTTGCATATTTTATATTATTTTTCCATTCACAATATCACTTTAATTATGCATGTATATGCCGATAATAATGACGTGTGTTTATAACTTGATTTATTATAATAAATCACAATTTAAGAATAAATTTAAATTAAAAGTTTCATTCAAATTTTCTTATTGGTCCCAAATATTATGTAGGTATTGTGATTTCAAAGTTAATAAGTTACCTTGTTATTTATTAATCATTTATATGGTTTGTTAATCATTTTTCTTATTTGATTGTAAAACATATTTTGTTTATTCAAATATCCAAAGTCTGTATTTAATTTTTCTATTAAATGGAGTTTTACTGTAAAAGTGTAAATATTACGGTATAAAACTCAAATGAATCCAAAGAAATGTAATGAGAGTTTCAGAAATACTTTTATTAGGAATAAAAACTTACTTGCGCAGTTGCGCACCAAACAAATGCAGATAAGTCGAACATTTTAAAAAGCACACAATTCGATATTTTTTTATAGTGCATACGAAATTCACATTGAATTCTTATTCAATTATTGTACATTTTTTTTAAAAATGATTTTGTCATCTTAGACATATTCGTCGGTGCATAATGACAGCAGTAGCCCTGCCGTCCGGCGCATACTAGTTGCCTCCCAAAATATACGAATTGCCTCCCGTCCTTATCGTAAATAAAAAGGTTACTTTACACTAGTTGCCTCCGATGACCAGATTGTTCATAATTATATACGAGTTGCCTCCCAAAAAGTTTCACACTAATTGCCTCCCATATAGAATTAAGTAGTGGTTCATAAACTTCACCAAACAGTTCCACATAAATAGATAATGTTTATACTTTATTCATTATTAAAAATATCAGACTTGGTTAAAACAATAATAATATAAAAATAATCAATACAAATAAAACATATTTTACTACTTATTAAAAATATATAGTGCAGTTAAAAAACATCAGTCAAATAATAAATCAATAATTTAAACAAAATAGTAAGTAGTACCTATTATTAGTCAATAAAATAAATGTATGGTAATAATAATATAATATAATATGCATATAATGGTAAAAAATTATTTATAACATTGTTTAGGCTTGTATTTTTTAGCCAATATTTGTAAGTACTCAAAATTTGATATTTTTTTTTTCATTTAGCTTTTTTATTTGGGTATTAATGAAAATTATTTTGTTTCTAATTTGTAATCGTCCATGTAGTTTAGGCTTATGAGAACTTTGTATTAAAATTACAGTCTCAGTCTAAATTAGTTTTAAAATGTCAATAAATTTGATTATATTAGGATGCGGAGACTCAAAATAACTATTACATTTGCTATGAAAGGATTCGCATGCATTGGTTGTGCGATGAATGCTGGAACTTTTTTCTGCCCATACATGATGTTTGAAAATGTTTGGAACCACTTATATATTTATTACCTGACTAATGGGATGCAACTAGTACTAGACCCTTTTCGTTTATGATAAAATTTAGGGTACGTCAGGAGGCAACTCGTATATAGCCGGGAGGCAATTCGTATACAAATTATGGGCCTTTTTGACTTCGGGAGGCAACTAGTGTGCGCCCCTGCCGTCGTCGTCTACGCATCGTCAACGGACGTGCCAAATTAAAATGAAAGGCGTGAAGATCTCCCCACTGCCGCCTGCCATCAAAGATATACAAACTTACTTAATTATTACAATTAAATTAAACAACGGCTTCCGATTGCGAAAGCCTTCAGTGGTTGTTTTAAAAGTCTCCCTGCCAGTCACCTCCCCCTCTCATTATTGGGCTTAATTCTACGAAATTGATTATTGTGATTTTTATCTACGGACAGTTGAACATAGGCGCTCGTGGTGAGGTCAGGGGTTGGGTTAAAGTCTCTCTGCTCTTGCAGTATTGTCTGAAATTCTCCCGACCACAATTTTTTTGGTAAGTACCTACCGCCTACCAATTTGACAAATAGACCTGTGAAAGTACTTATATAGCTTATTTTGCATTTTATAGAATAAATAGATTCAATTTTCTATTAGAACCCACTGTCAAAATTGATGATCAAATTACTTTTTCCACCGTATGAAATGTACACTATAAATAATACCATAAGTCCATAACACAAAAAAAATCTATCCGTACATAATAATCTAAATAACAATACTTCACTTAAAACGAGTATGTCAGCATAATATACAAATCGAAATCTGAGTACTCATTAACATATTATAATATTTTACCTACACGTACCTATGCACCTAATATTATGATTTATCAACTGCCATATTATAAAATGGTCATTGCGGTCTTCAGAAAGGAAGCCAGAAAATCCTATTACCGCATGCCGATCGATTATAAAATGATGAACGTATGGTACTGGCTGGCTCCGTCGTTTGGAAGTAATTTATTAATTTGTTCGGTGTCGGACGAATGCTGAACATTCGTTCGTTTGCAATTATTATTCAACATCACACATACTACGAGACGCACTGTTATGTCAAACGAAGATATCGAAAATCGAAATACCATCGAGAAGGTACTCGAAGAAGTCATCACTGCTGTGACTTCTGACTACTGACTCTTGCAAAGATATCGACAAGGCCGCCGAGGAGGTTCGGGAAGACGTCGACAGGTGGTGTCAAATTCCAGCAACCAAATCGAAACGATCGTCCAGGGGGTGCTCCAGGACATCATAGCTACCACGGATTTAGGCAGAAACCATCAACTGACCAACATCGTTATAAATAACGACGTTATATACGAATGATGGTCGACTACATCGTCGATTTACCGGTTGCAGTAACCCAACCTTTTTTGTAATTAATGTTGACAGTACTTTTGATATTGATTGCGAATATGAAAATTGAATAATATGCGATTACAACTAACAAGTATTTTAAAAGTTACAATAAAAATTACGCGAGGAGTCATGAGCACTTCTATACGTAATACGTGCATGTCCGTTGGACGTACACATATCCCTCAGGGGCTATACACAAATTGTAATTTCAGGACTTCTAATGGGGGGGGGGGGGGTAGTTAGTCATCTAAAATAGGCGGGCGACGTTTTGACGGGTGCATAACCGTGCTGATTAAAGTATAGCAACCGACAAGTAGTCACTGCCTACGCCCGTTCTCCACTACTATGATGCGGATTTCTCTCTCTGGGTGAGGATTCGACCGCCAAACCCTCCGGGGATCAAAATAGCATACATAAAGAGGGTCACCCCCTTAATATTCCCAAAAAGGGTGAAATTAAAATGCTTTTTGGTGCGTAATTTTCATCATAAAATAGCCGGTTTAAGTGGTTATGGGTATGTATGTTCATAATTTTATACTATTAATACGGGTTACCTTTATTATGTATTCATTATCATATGTTATATCTTATCATCCGGTGACCACCAGCAAAACTGCTTTACTAAATTGGCTTATGAACTGTTGAAGTACCTATACCTGGTTGCTGGTAAATTTAATTTCTTAATTTGTCTCGGAAAATTAACTCCATCGACTTTGTGAAAAATGACAGTAAAAACCTAGGTCATTTTAGAAAAGAAAGCTACACGTCGCACTCCCATCTCGTGCGTATACACTATACAGCTATTTATAAAATGGAGTATGGACATAAAGCATGTTCATGTTATTGTAGGTATAATGTATTTTTTTTTTTAATTTTGTCAGTAATTTGTATGTATTGTAATGCGGTTTCAAACAAATGATAACAATTTTGTAACTTTGCATATTTTGACAACATTTTGTATTTATTGGACACCTATTGAAGTAAAAAATATACCTATACTGTATTTGAAACCTAATATATTTGTAAAATAATATTTTGTAGAGTGAAAAATTCTAATAATAATAATTTTATTAATTTTCCGGGTATGCGGTCGATCGTTTTTGGGTGAACTAACATAAATTATAGTTGGTAGGTACATCGTTTTCTGAAGTTAACTATGTCTTGCCTGTAATTTGGTGAGGCGATTCACTAAAAAAATATTATTTGTCCATTATCTATAATTATAAGATAAACGATTTAATTATGTACATTTTATTAAAAATTGTTTTGTTTATTTTCACGACTCTTACTGCATATTGTGATTATT